TCACCAAGACTGGAGGAACAGACAGGTGAATACAGGGAGTCTTGGCTTACTGGAGCAGAGACACGTAAGGGGAAGCAAACCCTGGTGGGAACTAATGTTGGGCCAGGATGTCGTGAACATTAAATGACAAATTGCTGGGGGCTCACTGGGAATGAGGATGAGAGTTAAAAATTCCAGGGGGCCCAGTCTTAGGGGGTCTTCCACACTTTTGTGAGATTTACTTCCAGGAGCTGGACCAGGTTTTCAGGAAATATTAGAGAAAAATCCCCTTGTGTTTCTGTCAGAGGGAAAGGAAAAAAAATTTTTTTTCAAAATATGCCAGAGCACTCTGTTGTTGTTTTTCTCCAAGGTTTTTGTTTGTTTGTTTTAATTCCACTTAGTTCATATACAGTGTATTATTAGTTTCAGGTATAGAAGTAATAGTAATTCAACACTTACATACAACACCTGGTGCCCTCCTCTATTCTTAACAGGGCCTGCCCGCAGGAGAAACTAGTTAACCAGAGCCTAATCTGCTGGGATATTATTAGAACCTAACTGGCCTGGGGGTAGGAAGATACTCAACTCCAGCCTTCCACATGGGAGGAGGGAACTACCTACCCAGCTCTAGGCTACCTGTCCCACCTAAGGGAAGAGAAAAAAACTGAGAAACACTTGGGCGTTCACAGTCCAGAGGCACAGAGGCACTAACAGACCAAGACCTGCTCATAGGACTGTGGAACACTTCCCTGCTACCACACCTCACCACTGCATTACAGGTGGCCCATTTACAGCAGTTCCTTTTATCTGGCACATCATGTCTGGCTATCAAGAAAAAAATTATAAAGCATACTAAAAAAGTCAAAAAACACAACTTGAAGAGACAGAGGGAGCATCAGAACCAGACATGGCAGGGATGTTGGAATTATCAGACTGAGGATTTTAAACAACTTTGATTGATATGCTAACCTCTCTAATGGATAAAGTAGACAACATGCAAAAACAGATGGACAATATAAGCAGAGAGATGGAAAGTCTAAGAAAGAAAAAGAAGGTGTCTAGAGATCAGAAACACTGTAACAGAAATGAATGCCTTTGATGGACTTATTAGTAGACTGGACATGACTAAAGAAAGAATCTCTGAACTTGAGAATATACCAATAGAAACCTCCAAAACTGAAAAGCAAAAAGAAAGAACACTGAACAAAAAGCTGGAACTGAGTATGCAAGGACTGGAGGACAGCTACGGAAGGCATAACATGCAAGGCATTGTAATACCACAAGGAGAAGAGAAAAGAAGGAAACACGGGCATCACAGTGAGGAGAAGGAAGGAATCAAGGATTATATTGTCCTTGTATTGGACTTTGATGCCTGAGAGGTGGCCCTGAATCCGAATTTTAACCTAGATGAACTTCACTGCCAAGTCAGTGTTTCCCCTTCTTTTTCCTCCTGTCTCAACTGTGACCTGGTGCTGATCAAGTCCTTCTTTACGTAAAGATATATCTAAGAAAGCCCATGAACTCGTGTAAGTTTTGTGTGTATGTGTGCATATTCATTTTTTAATAGAAGATACATGGCCTCCATGTGATTGTCAGTTTGAAAGTCACTGAGCTAAGACATTTAGCTTCACAACTTGGTAGCTGATGTTTATTCAGTTTTGTTCTAGAGATTAAACGCCTGTTCGGGAGTGTGTGTGTGTGTTTTTTTTTAAGATTTTTTTTTTTAAATTTATTTATTTGACAAACAGAGCGAGAGAGGGAACACAAGCAGGGGGAGTGGGAGAGGGAGAAGCAGACTCCCCACAGAGCAGGGAGCCCGATGCGGGGCTCGATCCCAGGACCCGGGGATCATGACCTGAGCCGAAGGCAGATGCTTAACAACTGAGCCACCCAGGCGCCCCGGGAGTGTGTTTTAAAAGCATTCTAAGTGGTTCTGCTTCAGGTAGTGCAGTAGGTTAAAAATTCTTGAAGATCTTCCTGACATGAAACACAGAAGTGTTAGATAAATCATAGCAAAAATATTTTCCGATTCTTTGCTGAACTCTAGGGAACCTGAGAGGTCACCACTCCTCACCCACCCCTGAACCGTGAGGCAAGAACACAAAGCCTTCTGGAAAAACAAAACAAAACAAAAAACAGGAGAATAAGTGAAGCCTAGGTGGTTCTGGCGGCATATGTTGACTGGGGGAACCTACAGCTTTAGCGGGTAATGGTTGCCTAGGGCCTGGGGTGGGCAGAAGCCGAGACCAGGTTTGTGTACACTGAGGACAAGTGGGGGACTAAATGTGAGACTCTGCATTCGTCCAGGAAAATCCCTGCTGGCTAGGAAACCTTTAAATAAACCTCTCTGCCTCTCCAAAACGCAGGTGGAAAAATAATAGTAATAACAATATTGGTATTAATAATAATGATAATAGTCTCCTCTGATAATCTGAGACCATAATTGTCTCATATGAGTTTGAGATTTGAATACACGCTATACAATCAGAGAAATCCCCAAATGGGAAATGAAGTTGAAGCCAAACCAGGTTGATAGCTGGTAGGTGTAGGAGTAGGAGCTAGTAGGAGCTGATACAGACCTTATCTGGAGAAAGGCGTCCTCAAGCCAGCTCCTTCAGGATTCCCAATGATTAATATTAGCCAAATATGAGTTCACCATAAACAAGGTACCGTAAACAAGATCAGCAGAGACAGTAACCAAATTCAGGCGCTCAAGGACTAAGAAATAAAATACCTATGTATTAAATGGTTATATTATTAAGTAATGTTATTAATGATGGAATTAAAAGAAGGAAAGACCAAGTAACTAGGGAATTAAAGCTACATGAAAATCTATCTCAAAAACCATAAATTGGCAAAAATGAAACAGATTGACAATACTGAGTGCAGTATGTGGAAGAGCTAGAACTTTCCTTATTGCTGGGGGAAGGAGGTGTATAAATTGATATAATTGCTGTTACCAATTGTCAAGTTGAGGAATGTACACTCTATGACTCAACATTAACACTTTAGCGATATACCCACACATACACTTGAACATGCCCGAGAAACATGTCCAAGCATGAAGTCTGCAGGGCAGCAAGGGTGGTGATGGCAAAACAGACAAAATATTTGGAAAACAATATGCACTGACAAGAGAAAATAAATTATGATGTACCGTACAACAGTAGTCTGTCCAGCTCTGACAATGAACTACAGCTGCACATGTGTAAAACTCAAATATGAGGAACCTCAGAAACAATGTAATGTGACAACAGACAAATACATTCACTTTGGTGACATATTTATAAAGTTTAAGTGCTTAGAAAACCCAACAGTATAAAAATAAATAAATAAAATATAAAATATAAAAATAAATAAAACATGCAAAATTATAAAAGAAATAGCAAGCAAAATATAATATCTATAATATTTATAAAATAAAAACAAGAGAATTACAATATGAAATTTTAAAAGGTGGGAGAGGGTCAGAGAACATGAATACAGGGAACTCTAAGGTTACCAACCTTGTTCTATTCCTCAAGCTGAGTGGAGGGCACATGGATGTTTATCTTAGCGTTCTCTTTATAGTATAGATTTTATTTTTTTAATCTATAAAAATGTCGTGGCTTAAAAAATACTATGCATTTCTATCTGATTCATTTCTATTATTCTAATAACTTCTTGAGGAATGAAAAGTACTTGTTTATAAAAGAAGTAAGGCACTGACATAAAAGGAGACATATTTTACTGTTATTCTAATTTATTTATTTTTTTAAGTACTGTTGTCTTTTTATGGTGTGTTACTCTCAGAGATAGAAATTGCTTTGTAAAAAAAAAAGTGCTCATTGGCTCTGAAGATCAACATAGAAAAGGATGCATTAATTACTAGTGCTCCTAAGTGTCCCCCCCAAACTAAAACATTTTAATGGGGTTATGCCGTGCATGTTTTTGATCAGACAATCTTATATAAGAAAAAGTTTAAATTTAAAAAATGCATCTGTGATTATTTCAGTTCCTTTAGTTTTCCTTTGTTCCCATTCATGTTCTAAATAGAACCCAGAAGAATGCCAGTTATTCTGATACCTCTTGAGAGATATACTTCTAGTGGTATAGTTTTTTTTTTTTTAATGAGACTTACGTAGTCAGTTCAGTGTGGGATTTTGAACTAGTAGCAAGAATTAGTCCACTTATGTGGAATCCGTAGCGTACTCAAGTGATGTCAGATGTTGCAATTCATTCAGTTTAAGGATTTCTTTCATATTACGGAGTGAAGTGGGATGCACCTGTTTAGTCGCAGACAGGAAGAAAACACCTCTCAACATCACTTCAGATGCAAACCTTACACAAGTGAGTTCTTGCTGAAGAGGAGGCTGGCTTTACAATAGGCCCATTTTCTTCCTGTAGGGTTCACTCAGAGGGTTTTGACTTAATTTAACCTAGCAAAATGCATCCCCACATTTCTTACACTACAACATTAAGTTCCTATTTTGCTTATGCATGTTTCCCCCCCCCCCTTTTAGGGCTGAAATAAGGGAAGGAGAATGTTTATAATGAAGTTGATAAAATAAGATAGAATAAAGTGAGTTTTGATATATGACAGTGGTCACAATGTAGATGACTATAGTGAAATTTTTTAAAAAATTTTAATTTAAATACCCTTTAACAGAAATAATTTAAATAAAACACTTACCTAACATAGATTCAGTATTTGACAAATTCCTAATGTCTTTTACTTCTGTTTCTTGGCCTATAATGACTGTTATCAGTTTGTAGGCTTAAAATACGGCACTTCCTAAAAATGCTAAAGTTCTTATCAACAAACTGTGCTTGAGAAGGATTTGCTTCATTACATATTGCTTCAGTTTAGGTCTGAAAGTTACAGTGTTTCATGCAGTAAGTTTCTTCCTTATTCATTTTAACTATACAAATCATCTCATTTAAGTGTGTGGAATAACATTTATATACCATATGACTTTGCTCAAGCCTTCTCAATATACTAAAGCATGTGTTGATTTTCTCCCCACTCTGTGTTCCTCTAGGATAGTTTCCCAGCACGATTTGGAGGAATTCATTTTGTCAATCAACCATGGTATATCCATGCCCTGTACACCGTGATCCGACCTTTCCTAAAGGAGAAGACTCGGAAAAGGGTATCTGTTTGTTTCTTTGTTTTTATATTCTTTCTCCTCCCACATTCAATGAATTATGCTGCATAATGTGTATCTAATATTGGCTGTGATCAAATGTACCTCTACATTGCATATAAATGTTCAACATACAAGACATTTAAAAATTCTTGAAGACCTTATGATTAATTCTGATCAATGTATGTATGAAAGAAATACTTAAAAGCCTGCTAGTCTACTTTCCCACAAATTGGGAGAACATTTCAGTACATTCATTATATATTAAAGCCTCAGTTTAAAAGTAAAAAAAAAAATTGTGCCATGTTCCTAGATTGTTATTAGTACACTTAATTTCAAGTAAGATCCAGAGAAAAGTTATAACTTTATAAGCTGATATATGAAAGTTATTTCACAATATGTATCACATTGAATATAGTGAATTTTGTGATATTTAATATAACTTTGTAGTGATTGTCATGATCAGTCACACATTTCAGAAAGAATGCTGATGTGTAGAAATATTAATATTTCTTTAAATGGCCAGTTACTTGAGTTCTAAGACCAATTTTTATCTAACAATGAGGATATTCAAAGTACATACAACAAAATAATCATTTTTTTCTGTGAATAAGACAATTTATATAAAGCACTTAGCACAGTGCACGGTACATGGTAAATGCTGAACACATTTATCGTTATTATTAATAATATAGATTTTAAAATACATTTTAATGCCCCATATTTCATTTTATCCTCCAAAAGGCTCTGAAGCGTAACTTTAGTAAGCCTTACCTCCTATTTCAGAGCTGAGAAAACTAAATCTTAAGATGGTTAAGTAACTTGCTTACTCATTTACACAGCTGTAGAGTTGTAGAGCTAATATATGAATCCAAATATCTCCAGATTTAGAGCTATTTTTACCACCGTGCTGTGACCAATTTTCAAACGATTAGTTCCAAAGTAAAATATACTTTACTTCTAAATGTGTATTGAAGGTAATTTTCCATGTTTCTCAATGAATGAGAAAGCACTTCAGGTATTTCTGAGCTGTGTTGTAGAAGCCTCATTGTGAGCATAGAGGAGAGGTAATTGTTAAGTATGTGTTTGTATCAAACATTGAACAGAAGGTCTTCTGAATATGAATTTGTTGAAAATGTTCTGTTAGTATAGGAGGAAGGCTTCTGTAAACAATTACAATTTATATCAGGAATTGTTTCTACCAGTGAGAATCAAATTAATTTACATGTTAGAATTCAGAAAAAATGTATTGATGTGCTTCCCAAATAACACTTACAAACTTTGTTTTATGAAGAGGTGATCAGGTGATCCAAAACACCTGCTGGGGCTTTTAGTACATATTATACTAGTGAATGCTTCTGTAGTAGTCACTCTAGGCCACATGCTCTTCTAAGTACTTTACATATGTTAACTCATTTAATCCTTACAAGGATGGCTCTAGGGGAAGCATTGTTATTTTTCTCCTTCTATAGATGGGAAAATGAGGCACAGAAGGTCAAGCAAATTCCTCTAAATCACAGCTAGGAGGTAGTAGAGCTGAATATGTGGGTTTATTGGGAAGACAGTTCCAGACAGAGGGCACAGCAAAGACAAAGGTCCTCAGGTAGAAACATGCCTGGTATACTTGGCAAACAGCAAGAAGGCACAGAAAGCTGAAGCAGAATGAGCTACTGAGGAGGGTAGTAGATGATGGGATGGAAGGGAATATGGTATGCCACATCATAGGGGTCTTGTATTCCATTGCAAGGGTCTGGGCTTTCAGTCAGAGTGAAATGAGAAATACTTGAAAGACTGAATACAGGGGTGACTTGTTCTGAGCACAATGTACTGCTCTGTTGAAAAAGACTAAGGAGGATCAAGTCTAACCCCAAGCTCCAGGTTTGGGGTTATTTGATTGAATTGAATAATTTTGACAATGCCTGGAAAAATTCATGGCTAGCATTATTCTAGATGGAAGTGAGATATCGGAGCTTTACCATTTTAATTAAAACTATATGACTTGTAAATCTTCATAAGAGAAAACAGTTATAGGTTAAAACACTTCTGATTTCTACTTATATAATCAATATAAAGTGCAAAGCTATTATATTTCTTTATGGGTATTCCAAGTGATTCAGCATCATAATATTACTCAAACACTGTATACCTTAGATGCTATAAATCTGTGCTCTGAAAAACTGACAAAAGAAAACCCAAAGAATAATTGTGCATCTTTTGTCACAAAAAGGAAACTCCTGGTTCTTTGTTTTTTTTTTTTAATTAAATGAAATCTGACTTTGAGTCTCCAACATATGAACTAATGGGACTAGCGACCCTAGGTGGTAGGGGTGTCCCTTCTCAAAATCTCATCAATATCTGGAATCTTTCATGCAGAACGAAATTTTCCATCCAGGATGGCTACTTCTGACATCCTCACTATTCAAGCCAGTATTAGTTTCTTGAATTAAGGTCTCCTTCTGCTCCCAAGTTGTCTGTGAAAAAGAAAAATAGCATCTTCACTAAAGCTGGAACCCAATGCCTAGGATTCAACCTCCATGCATTCTTCAGCTATTCCAGGGTTGTGGTCTTGCCACTCCCAAGAGCTGACAGGAAACAGGCTTCCATACTGATTGGTGCAACTTTCTACCTGTTCCTCAGTATGGGGGACTCTCTCTTCTATTCCTTGCTAATTCCCAAACGTATTTCACTTTTCTCCCTTCCACTCAGGTCACCTACCATAATCTCTTTAATGGCACAGTGTAGGGAGGTAAAGTAAAAGTATTATTTAGGCTAATTCTTAGAATAGTAAGGTACTCTGAGGCAAGGGAGCCCAAAAGGACAAGACTTCTTGCATGAAATGGTGGAAGACAGAAGAAACATCCACTGCAAATGTCCTGAGACAAATGTGTGCATGGTGTGTTTCAGCAAGGAGGACATAGTAGATGTGTTCAAAGAAGGAGTTTATGGAGGGCCTTACAGGACTTACTCTAAGAGAAAGGGGAAGTCAGTGGGGAATTGTGAGCAGAGTAACGTGATCTGACTAATGTCGTGACATGGTCATTCTGGCTGCTGTGTTGAGAACAGAGTGTAGGTGGCAAGAGTGAAAGTGGGGAGAGCAATTAGAAGGTTAGTGCAATAATATAGTTTGAAGGATGATGGTAGTTTGACTTGGGGCGGTAGGGGCAGAATTGGTCAGATGTTCAGATTTGTGATATATTTTGAATGAAGAACCAAAAGGATTTACTGACAACTTAGAGAGGAATTAAGGATGAGTCGACAGTTTTAGCCTGAGAAACTAGAAGCAGTCATACCACTAACTGACATTAAAAACAGGGAGGAGCTGATTTGGGGAAGAAAGCTGTGAGTTCAGTTTTGGACATACTAAGTTTGAGGTGCCCATTGACCTCTTACGTGGAGATGTCAAGTGGAGAGGGGAAATAGCAATCTGAAGCTCAAAGGAATGGTCTGGATGCAATATATAAAGTTCAGTGTGTGAATGATGTTTAGGGCCCTAGACTGAATGAGATCACCAAGGAGTAAGTACACTTAGAGAAGAGAATCAATCCAAGAACTGAAGCCTGGAGCTCTGTGACATTAAGATGTTGGGGTGATGGGAAATAATCAGCAAAAGAGACTGAAAAGAAGCATCTGTCAAAGTAGGAGAAAATCAAGAAATGCTGGGAATAAATGTTGCAATGATGAGAGTCATTTATATCCAATGCTACTGAGAGGTGAAGAAAAATAAGGACTGAGAATTGAACATTGAGTTTAGCAATGAGAAAGAGCCTGACAAGAACCATCTTCATGCGATGGTGGGAAGCAAAGCCTGTTTGGACTGGACTCAGGAAAAATGGGGCTAGAGAATTTGGACGGTGAAACAACTCCTTTGATGAGTTTTGTAACAAAGTGAAGGAGAGTAATAGGTTAATAACTGGAAGTAGAAGTCTGGCCAAGAGAGGTTTTGTGCCTCTGTTTGAGGGGCATGGGAAGGGAGGTGGGTTGGCAAGTTTGTCCTCTGATGGGAAAGATCTCCCAGACAGAGGAAATTTGATGATATGAGAAAGACAGAAGAGACTTGCTTGAGCAATATAACTGAGTAGAGGAGAGAGGATGGCTTCCAGTGCACAGGTGGAGAGATTGGCCTTTGTAGAGTTTATCTTTCCATTGTACTAGGCTCAGAGGCAAAGCATACGGACACAGATGCTGGTGGGTGGGTCTCATCTGGTTGCCCTATTTTTTCAGTGAAAGAGGAAATAAGGCCAAAGCTGAAAGTGATGTTGAGGGAGGATGTAAAAGAATGTTAGCAAAGAGAGAGAAAGTAGTGTGCTAGGATTTCATTTATTTCTCTAAGGATTTATTAAGATAACTCATGCATGACTTGAAGAGATTTCTTACATGAAGAAACATCTAATGAAATAAGGTTGTATAACTAATAAAATAAGAGTTTCAGGTGCTAGAACTTAACTTCCCCCGCCCCCCCAAATTATTTCGATTTCTTATGAGAAGAACCTAAGTGTGTGTGTGTGTGTGTGTGTGTGTGTGTGTGTGTGTGTGTGTGTGTGTGGTGGGCGGGCTGTTGTGCTCTGCAAAGAGGAGCTGGAAGGTGTAAAGTTTGCAATTAACCTAATGTGCTTTGGAGCAGATGTCATCTTCCACCTCTGTAGGCTCCGTATCAAATATTTCAGGCAGCCGTTTGCTCTGCCTATTTTGGCCAGTGACCTGCTCTCATCTGTTTTTACTGGTCCATAATCTGTTGAAATTACTTGTTGATTTATAATTCCCATCCCTATCATTTTGTTGGATGTTATAGACTAGTTTTTCTTTGTTTTCCAATATATTTACTTCAGTGGACTCTAAAATTACAGAAAGCAAAGGTAATTATGTTAGCCTGTTCATCATAAACCTGAAGTATGAGTCACTTAGAAACCATGAGTGACTATTTCTAAGTTACTTATAAACTATAATCCTTAAACAAATATTATATAAATTATATGAGATGACACGAATGCTTTTTCAGAGAAGACTGATCTACAGTTTTGAGATTGAAATGAAAGAAGAGAAAAGAGGTAGCAATTTATGGAGAAACAAATCTTGAGTATGTACCTTGAGTAATTTTTCAGCTTAAAGATTTATTTATTGTGAATTGTGTAAGACTGATGAATCACAGACCTGTACCCCTGAAACAAACAATACATTATATGTTAAAAAATAAGAAAAAAAGATTTATTTATAAGAGAGAAAGAGAGAGAGAGCGAGAGCAGGGGAAGAGGCAGAGGGAGATGGAGAGAGTGAATGTCAAGCAGACTCCAGGCTGAGCGAGAAGCCCGATGTGTGGCTCAACCACACGACCCTGAGATCACGACCTGAGCCAAAACCAAAGGTCCATCGCTCAACTGACTGAGCTACCCAGGTGCCCCAATAATTTTTTAGTTTAAAAAAAAAGCTCTAGGTAATACCAATTATTAATGTATACATACAGCTTTACATTTTCACCCCATTATTGCATTTTTATTTGAACAATAAGCATGGAAACCTCTAGTAGAGAAGATGCTGGCAACATTATAGAACATAAGTCCTTTGGGATGTGAACCTTCACTCATCCTTTCGTTATGATGATGCTAATCTACTTTTATTTACATCACACACTTTGCATTATGAAGCAGTAATTTAGTGTTTACAGTATTCTTATTTTTATTGATGATAAAAGAGAAAGCCATACTGGTAACAGCTTTTGGGCTTAATAACTTGGATGGGCTCTATAGTTGATGAGTCCCTTATGCGAATGGTCTCTTTTAACAGCATTCGTTATGCACATCATTAGCTTTGCACAACTAACATCAAGATGATGTACAGATCAACATGCCCATTGGATTCTGCTTATGTCCTCAACTCTAAAGTAGGAAACCAAATTTCAGGTTTCAGCTCTTTAAGCCAACCACTATCTGACTTTCTAGAAACTACTTAAGATTCCTATGCCTCAGGATTTCTATATGAGATATTAGGATAACAGTACCATCCCTGTATGTTTCACAGAGTGGATGAAGGATTTAACTATTTTAACAGACATGGAAAACTCTTGTTTTTGCTTTTCCTAGCCTCACTCCCTTCTCCTAGCATTTGGATGGTATTTATTCTCCTGTGTGTGTTTCTCCTCACCCTTCTTCTTGCATTTGTAGATATTTTTGCATGGTAACAACCTGAACAGTCTACACCAACTAATTCATCCCGAGATCCTGCCTTCTGAGTTTGGAGGAATGCTGCCCCCTTATGACATGGGAACATGGGCAAGAACACTGCTAGACCATGAGTATGATGATGACAGTGAATACAATGTAGATTCCTACAGCATGCCCGTGAAGGAGGTGGAAAAGGAACTCTCCCCCAAGTCCATGAAGAGGTATGCTGGAGGTGGCTGGGAAGTGGGCTGTAGCCAGTGTGGGAATGCCCCAAGTGAACTCCTCGGTTTATACTTTTGGGGAGTATATATTCAGTGTGATTTTAAATCCTTTTATGCCCCCATGATTAGACATCTAGGAATTTTGAGTCAAAGATAAAGTCATTCAAGGCAGTGTCAACTCAGTTTTGTTCCATGTTCACAGACAATCTAACAAGGCGGTTAGGGATCACTAAATCCAGTGGTTTTTCAAACTGTACCCTCAGAGTTCTGGGGGAGTACCTTAGGCCTAGCAGGTGGGGTGGGAACAGTGCCCATCTCCACAACGAGAACAACTCTCCTTCTATCCAAGCAATTTACTAGACTTTTGTATAAGATTTCATTTGAAGAAAGGGATCCATGGCAAGCACACTCACACACACTCACACAAACACACACACACATGCACACACATTTCAAACTTATATTCTCTTTTTAGTATCTCTGCTCTGTTTCTGATTTAAAGGTCTAGCCATTCCTGAGGCAAAACATTCTATTTTCCTACAGCTTTACTCTTTATAAAGTTCATTTCTGATTGAGATTCTGATTCCTTGCTTTGACTCTCATGGTACTTTTATGCCTGTTTTCTTTCAGTCAATGCAGGTTTATTGAACACATACTCTGTAATAGGCACTTCCCTAGGTGCTTTGGATTCACTGTGAACATACACACATCCAGCCATAGCTTAGTGGTGATGGAAGGCAGGGGAGTTGCTGAACATGCCCAAATGTATAGCTGCCTCTGACTTTGCATTCTGTAGCAAACCAGAAGATACCTAATTCTCAGGCTCCCCCAGGCCACAGAAAGCCAGAGTTTACTTGGATAGTAGTAACGAATATTATTTCTCTGTTCATTTCCCATCACAGAAATATAAGAACCACAGCCCCTGCAAGTCTCTTTTCACCTGGCTCAGGGAGGACCAAGACATCACCCCTGTCATCCCTCACACTATCTTGCATCTTTCTCTGATGAAAAGCAAGGGTCCTTTGGTCACAGTTGTGTTCATGCTGGGGTGCCGCTGTTCTCAGAGCGGGCCTCCTGGTGCAGCTGCTGCTGTTGTTGCTACTGTTGTTGGTGTGTGTGATGTCCTCCTCTCCCCAGGCTGCTCCACGATGCCTTGGAGAGAAGGGAAAGGCTGGAGACATCTCCAGCTTTAATTTCTCCACCAATCAACAAGCAGGGGGAGGGGCAGAGAGAGAAGCAGGCTCCCCACCGAGCAAGGAGCCCGATTTGGGACTTGATCCCAGAACCCTAGGATTGTGACCTAAGCCGAAAGTGGATGCTTAGCTGACTGAGCCACCAGGTGCCCCAGAATAACTTCCTTCTAATAAAAATAATAATCCTAGTTGTTGTTATAATCTGCCATTTACTATGTACTTATCATGAGTCAGTCCCTATCTAGGTATCTTTTTCATAACATTAATTTATTTTATCCTCACAGCAACCCTGTTAAATGGATGTTGTATCCTCAAAGTCACATAGTCTATGTGTAGTGGACTGGGGTTCCAATCCATGAGGTATAGAGTCTAACGTGTTGTTGACGTAAGCCTTCCTTGTCTACCCTCTGAGATAGCAGGACGTAGGCTGTCACTCTGGAACTAGCTACATAAGGATTTGGAAACCGCTGTCACTGGTGATCCCTGGTTTTTGCCTTTACCAGCTAACAGTGCTTATTTCCTTCAACCACTTCTTCTGTGACATGTTCGCTAACGTGGTTCCCTCCTCAGAGCACGTATCTCTCCATATCCTCCACATCCTGGCTGTATCCTATCACCTGCAGTCTGCGTACCTGCACTCCTCCCAAACTTCCTACCTGTGTCTTTGCCTCTACCCTTACCCTGCTCCCCTGGCCCCCATATATTATCCACATGGCAATCTAAAACATCTTTTAAAATCTAAGTCAGATCATTTCACTTCTCTGCTTTACATTTTTTTTAAAGATTTTATTTATTTATTTGAGACAGAGAGAATGAGAGAGAGAGAGCACATGAGAGGGGGGAAGGTCAGAGGGAGAAGCAGGCTCCCTGCTGAGCAGGGAGCCCGATGTGGGACTCAATCCAGGGACTCCAGGATCATGACCTGAGCCGAAAGCAGTCGCTTAACCAACTGAGCCACCCAGGCGCCCTCTGCTTTAAATTTTTTAATGACTGCTGATTATACAGTGAATAAAATAAATTCTGTAACATGGCTTACAAAGTGCTATATGATCTGATCCTGCCCCCCTCACCCTTCTAAGTATATCCCACCATCTCTTTCCTCCCTGTCTTTCAGCCATAATATCCTTCATTCTGCTCCTGCAGCCTCCCTCTCCAGCTTGTTCCTCTCTAAAGGCCTTTCCACGTGTCACGGCTGCATAGGATGCTCTTTTCCTGCATCTCCCAATCCAAGGTCACCTCCCTAAGAGAGTGGTTAGGTCTTTATCAACCATTAGGTCTTAATCAACTCTACTTCCTCCTCATTCTGGTCACTCCCTATCAGTCCCCTCTTTTATTTTCTGCCTGTCAAATGACTCATTTTATTTAACGTTATGTCCCCTCCCCAAATTTAGGCTTCATGAAGACTTCAATGACTTTGTCTGTCCCATTCTCTGAATCTCCAGTGCCTGGAGTAGGGCCTGGAACACAAAGGGTGCCCACTGGGGATCAGTAGAGTGAATGAAGGAGCACTCTGCTGTCTGTCAGTGGCCCCTTATAAGTCCAGTGTTCAGAACTGAATAGGTGACATCTGTTGCTATCACTACTTGCATCTAAGTTCCAGAACCCTAGCTTTGCCCTCACTGGCTTCTGTTGTTGCCTCTGTTGCTGTGGTTCAGGCAGCCAAAGCACATTGCTGACTCATTTTGAGCTCCCTAGCACTAGAAGGTTCTTTACTTATAGATCCATATCCTCATAATTCTCTCTTTCTGTGTTTAGCTTTTTCCTCCAAGCAGATAATTTTAATTGATTAACACCATCTTGTTAGATTTGGCTTGGTCTGTCCACCTTTTGAAGTCTTTTTGGATCCTGATTTTCTTCTCCAATTAATTAGGCCATTCTGTCCTCTGCAGACTTGGCTCAAGGCACATCGACCTCCCCAACCCTGAGTTTTTTGCTTCTGACGTGGATTGATTAGAATTTCAGCCATCCTTTGTTTGGTGTAGGTTTTGTATCTTACGAAGCTTTTAGGGTTCTATCTGAAAACTTGTGAAGAATGAGCTTAAGAAAGTCATTTCATTTGATTCTCACCTTCTGTGTGTCAGGGAGTGGCAGCTCCCCATCAAGGATGGGACAGAATTGTTCCTAGGTTCCCCCCTGCTCTCCTTTCCTCCATTTTTTTTTCCAGTTTTGTAATATCATTAGGTTGCGAGGAAAAAACTCATTCCTTCACCAGAGATTTGTAGATATTTCCTCCTTCAGGGGAATTTATCTAGATGTGTAAGAAGAAGACTTTGTTTTCCTGTGTTGATTTGTGGAGGAATAGCATGGTCACGTGAAAAGATACAAAGTTCAGTCGATTGTGGGGGCCTTATACTAGAGGAACATCTTTTACCTTACATCTCTAGTACCTAGGATAGTGCCTAGGATAGGCACATAACAGCTGCAGTGAGCAGCAATATTAACATTGCTGTTGTAATATGAGCTCCGATTTTATCGAATAATATCAACATCTATTGTTACTACCTGTCAAACTCCATCTAATGCTTTGTATATATTGACTCCTTTGCTTCTGTAAACAACTAATCAGGTAGTGCTATCTCCCTTTCATTGGTGAGGAGACCCAGATACAGAGAAGGTAAGTAACTTCCACATGGCACATAGGGGCAAAGTAGCATGGCTAATACTGGAAAACAGGCCATAGGATTCTGTAAGTCATCTCCCTAACTGCTACCATTTGCTATCTGCCAGAATTTGTGCTGTGATTTATGCATGCATTATTGAATTTGAGCCTTAGTGTATCTGTATGATGTAGGTGTTATTTTTCTCCATCTTACAGTTAAAAGAACAAAATCTAGGAAGTTTAAATAGCCTCCTCCTGGTCACAAGAGCCAGCAAATAACAGAACTGGAATCGGAATCCCCTTCTGTCCAAAAATCTATCCTCTTAAACACAAAGGTATAGCACCATATTGTGGATGCACAATAAATGAATAAATGATACCTGAATAATTAAACTTAAATGATAGGGTTTCATGAAAAAAAAAAAAGTTATTCATTGCAAAGACAGCAGAGGCTATGTGGAGACCGCTCAGATATGCTGTGAGTTAATGATAAACAACTCCTTCTATTGCGGCAGAAACAGACCAATGCATTGACAAGTCGTGGTCCTGTAAAAATAGCCCTGTTGTTTTGGATAAGACAGGAAAAAAAAATCTGGACTAAAATAACAGTACATTTGGGACAATTAAATACCAAAAAAAAAAAAATCTTAATTGGAAATCATTTCTGCCTGGCTTGTTTTATTGAGGAATTATTCTACATATGGAGCCAGTATTCATCATCCAACAATTCTGATGCTGGTTGTGCATGATAAAACCGAACTAGAATTTAATCACAGGTTGATAGTGCACTGTAATTTAAAATATTTCCTTAAAATCACCATACCCTCTAATCATTTTTTTTAATAGTCAAGGAACATAAAGATTTAAAAGATTGTGTGTGGGTGTGTGTGCCCATGTGTGTGCATGAGATATATATATATATATATATTTTTTTTTTTTTTTGCAAATGCTTAAATTGTGTACTTTGTGCTGTCTGAAGAGTTTGGTGTGTACTGATAGATATTATTAGGATATATATCAACATTTATAGAATAAATCTAACTTTGTGAGAATTTTAAAACATGTTTTCTGTTAATTTCCTTTTTTATAGGATAAATTGCTTTATCTTTATTATTCTTGGTTTTAAATGCTTAATACCAAACTTCTTTCAGTATGGGAACTATTTCTTAGGTAGAATTTAAGATATCGAGATTTAGTTGTGTAACAGACTCTGTGATACGCGTTGTGCTCACCATAAGGAGAGAAACTGATGAAGTCCCTGCTCATGGAACTTGTAGTTAAGTGGGTACCAGTTGTCAACTTAATATTTCAGTATAGGACATTAAATGAACTTTTTTTGTGTTTTAGCATGGATTTTTCTTGGGAAACAATTTTTTTTAGTTGAACCTAAGTAAAATAGTGGTAAAGGTCTAATTCCTAAGTGTTTTGTGCAATTGTCTGCTGTGTTAAAATGTATTTTATTCATGATATAAATGATTTTTCCTAAGATAAATTATCATTGCATTTAAAAGTGATACACAATCTTTTATTCCTCCTTCTCTTCTTTTCTTCCTCTACTTCTCTCTCTCACTCACTCTCACTCATCTGCTAATTCAACTTTAGTTGATCTCCTTTCTGATATAGACATATATAACCTATTATTGAGATAAAATGGTGAAAATGACTTAGGAAGTAAAACATTCCTGTTTTAATGTCCTCACCTTCCTTTTTGTTCCCTCTCTAGAACCAAATTTAAGTTTATTTAAATGAATGAGTCAATTAATCAGTTAATCCTATAATTATTTTTGCTTTGATAATTAGTTCCATTGCTATTCTTTTTCATTAGCATGTGCAGTTGTATTTTAGCTTATAGTCTTTCTTTTTGAGAGTTAATGAGGTTTGCTAAGAGGCATATTGCCACAGCAATAGCCAATTGGCTGGAATGCAGCAGCAGGGGGAAAATTCATTATTGAGGAGGATTTTAAAAGGGCAGCTGCTTCTTTAGTGCCATAGCTATTAAGAAAGCAGTTTCCTGCCATAACAGTAGCATGTTCCATTGACTTTCCTCCTTCCCAGTTTCATGTTGTTTCCTAATGATGAATTGAGATATAATTCCCACCTACTATCAAAAGCGGGTATAAGGAGTTCAAATTATTTGCTCTCCTAATCAGAAAGTGCCACTACCTATAAAAGAGGTTTTTTTTTTTAAAGTCTTAAATTGTTTCATGAAACTTTCCAGAGTAAGACTGATTTTATTCAGATGTTCTAGTGGGAAATTTAACAAAAATTCTCAAATTTTGATTTTTTTTCTAATGTGGTCATTGGAAATAAAAAATGATGGTTAAAAATGCACATTCATATTGAATTTGTTTCATCGAGATTTTTTTTTAAAGATTTTATTTATTTATTTGACAGAGAGACAGCGAGAGAGGGAACACAAGCAGGGGGAGTGAGAGAGGGAGAAGCAGGCTTCCCGCTGAGCAGGGAGCCCGATGTGGGGCTCGATCCCAGGGCTCTGGGATCATGACCTGAGCCGAAGGCAGACGCTTAACGACTGAGCCACCCAGGCGCCCCATCATCGAGATCTTTTTTTTAAGATTTATTTATTCGTATTTATTTGAAAGAGATAGAGGTTGTACTTGAGCTGGGGAAGGGGCAGAGGAGAGGGAGAGAGAGAAAGAGAATCTCAAGCAGGCTCCATACCCAGTGTGGAACCCAGCGCGGGGCTCTATTTCATCACCCTGCGATCATGACCTGGAGCCAAAATCAAGAGTCCTGGCTTAACTGGTTGGGTCACCCAGGCGCAGATCATAGAGCTCTTTAAGACAGGAATTAAGACTCCTATCATTTCTATTTCATTTCTCATAACAATAATTTCATTATAATAATTTCCCACTTGGAGATGTTCTGTTATCATCCATCTGTCCTATACTATATATTCTCACTCTCAAAAAAAAGACTTTTGATCAATTGTGAAGAAGAGAACTTAAGCTTATTATGGTGCATTTAGAATCCTTTGCTGCTCATTATCTATTTAGAGCTCAAAGGGGATTGTTTTCTCCCTGTGATACAAAACCCACTATAAGCATGTCCCTCTCTAAATGTGCAGCATTCTCAGTTCATAAATCCCTTGATGTAGGGAAGATAATCCACATCCATGAGAAAAGTAATAATGGACAAAACACAGAGAAAGGAATGTAATTATTTGGTAATAACTCACTGACACTGGCCTTATCATTTCCAGATCCCAATCAGTAGTGGATCCTACAGTATTAAAACGCATGGATAAAAATGAGGAAGAAAACATGCAACCTTTGCTATCTCTGGACTGATAACTTCTCTGCACTCCCCATGGATTAGAAATGGAAGGTACTTGTTTTCAGCAACAGGGACAGCACTGTGGAGTAATGACCAGCTGGAAACTTATTTATTCATGTTAATGTAGCATAATATATAATAAGGCATTGGGTTTCCCATTTGCTTGAACCATGGGTGCCCTGGTCTGGAGTTAAAGAAAAAAGTCAATAATTTATTCTGTAAGTGCCAAGTTCTTTGTAAATATAATCTAATCTTCACATCAAGTTTGTAAACTTTGGTAGTAACTGAAATTGGAAAAGTTTGGCTCATGAGTCCATGCCAGTGATATAAACTATAACAAAAAACAGAAAAGACACATACAAAATGGAAGCTAATTAAATGTAGCCCTGTTTCCTATGAAGCCATATTTCAGCTCTCATAGTGATTGTTTCAATGTTTTTCTCTGAAATTGTCATATTCCAATGTACTTTTAATGGACACAGGTAACTAGATGATTCTAGGAAATTAGTATGATAAATGTGTTTCCTGTCTAGTGATTTTCATTTCACAGAAAATGTGTCCTAGTGACTATCACTGGCCTTGAATTTTGGAGACAAGGAATGGCAGAAGAGCTGGTAAACTAAACACTTGAACTCTTCTATGTTGTTTAATTCCTGGAGTCTTGTGAAAAGATATGTTCCCCAAATTAAGATGTGGCATTCTAAAAGAGAGTGGATTTTTTTAAACTGCTGTCTTCATAATGTGTCTTTTATTTGAGATCCTATTGTATCCATGTCTGATGTACTTTAAGAACATTTCCCCCCCAAAACTCTTCGACCAAGAGAAAGAGAACTCATACGTGAATAGTGTTTTGACAACTAACTTTGGACATAAAAGTTGCCATGTACAGATAAGGGGCTAATTTCTAATTCTTGTGCACTGGTTGGAAATATATATATATTCACATGCACATATATATTTTTATTGAGCTCTAATAAATCCTTGATGTGACAGGCTTATAAAATAAATCATACATATTCAATGGTCTTAGAGATGTTATAAATAATTATGTGAGATGCTAACTCTGGAAAACTACTTCCACTAAAGTTAATGAAAATGAGGTATAGTGAAACAGACTTTCAGTGAACCTGTTTTAAGGGAATTCTAATTTAATTTGTAATGCAATCTTGAATCTGTGTCATTTTAGTGAAATATATTTTTCCTTCACAAAACAACAGGTCTCAACATAATGTGGGCAGTATCAGGTGACCAAGAGTAATATAATTTCTCACAAATTCAAGGTAATTATCTTAATGATCCTATAAGTACAGATTTTCTTTTCAGAAAAGATTGAAAGAACATATTGCATCCATAAGACATAGTGAAAGCATCTGAGGGCATCTGAGATAGCATGTTATAGTTTAAATGTAGATGTGGAATGCTTATGTTAGTTTTCATTTCATAAAAATTCTGCAATTATAGCACATTTTAAAAATCTTACTTTAAATTTCAAATTCCAGTGTGAAAAAGCAAGATTTTTACCACCTTTTCAGAGTGGTAATTTTTGAGATTGAAAATATTCTTTTGAAAGAAAAATATCTCAAGGAACTCTTGGAAACCAACAGAAATAAAGGCACGTAGCAGCCTTTATATACTTTTTAGCCAAAAGCTTCAAAAATTCCAGTTACAATTCTATACAAAACTCTTAATATCAAGATCAGTACACCAACCTGTACTATCACGAATGGACTACCAGTGTTTGTAAAAATACATAAATATACATAAATAATATGATTGAAATATACCTTAAAAATGCCAACCTCAAATCAAGTCTGGAAGAATAACTGTCAGGCCCTCTGCTCTACCCATAAATATTATGGAGATTGGAATGAATTGGGGGTAAAAAGCTACAACAACTCTTACCTTTGTAAGAACCCTAACCACAGGATTCTTATATTTTGGCCTACCTGACATATATTTGATAGTCTTGGACTTTATATACTATAGAAGCAAGTGCTAGGCAATATGATGCAGTAAGATAAAATAGAAACAATGTACAGAAGGATGGTCAACTTTTCATTCTCATGTGTTTCTCTTGATATACACTGTTTATTGCCAATTTTTAGAATTCTACCAGCTTCAGATGTCAACCAGCATAGCCAGCTTCTTTCCCCTCTCATAAGGCTAGTGTCATATATAAAAATAACCAGAAGGGCATATTGTATGTGTATACCTATCTAATTATAAGTATGATTCCCACTATCTCCCTTACCCGACATTTGGAAATTTTGCATCCTATTGCTGTCCGTCTGCTCTTCTTCAAATGAGCAACTGAGAGTTGGCTGCATTGTGTAAAATATTTTTAAATGAATGAACAAATTACAACAATGATGCCTTTTGAAATTGCTTTATCTAGCTCAATCTGTGAGTAAACTCATTGTCCAGGAATGTTTTTGGAGCTACTTAGTCAAAGGATATTTGGTCAACTTTATAAATCTTCCTTTCAGCATCAGCTAACTAGCACCATTTAGGGATTTTTTTCCCCTAATGTAATTTCCTGTTACGTAGCTATGTCTGTTGCCACATAACTTAGTAAATAAGCACTCCTATATGTCAATTAATTGTGATAGTGCTCTCTTTCACTCTTTCTCTTTTGTGCGTACATATGCGTGCATACACATGGCTGTTTGCCCTAATGAATTTGCCTATTTTGAGACCTATGCTTTCCTTTTGTAGCTGTCTTGTTACCGAAAATATGTAGACATCAAAGGATTACCACATTTGATTTAGAACAGACCAATAGTTCCTGCTTCTCTCACCCTGCCTGTTCTGCTCTTTCTTATATCCTTTCTTTCTTCCGTTGTTTCAGGGGCAGCTGCTTCCAAAGCTGGTTTAAAAATAACTAACTTTCCTTTTACTGTCAGTGATATTTGCACACATTTTTGCTTGATATCTTAAAAGGAAGAGATTATCGTGAAAATACACTCTAAGAAATATGAAGAAGTGCCTCTTTAAGAACGAGATAAAGCAGTGATACTAGAATATGGATTCTATTTGTAGTCTCTTCTGAAAAGTAAATACATGCATCTAAATAAGGGTGAAATATGAGTATCATTTGAAGAAGGGTAGTTGAGGCCTTGCTTTGAACATTCCCCTACAGCATTAAGTCTTTATTGTGTCAGTTCAATACCATAACTTGAACACATTTGCAAATTTGGCATTACGCTAAAACAATGTACAGGTGTTTGCAAGGAAATTTTTGAAGTGGGCATACATGATCTCTTTTATTTCAATAATAGTTTGTGTAGTGTAGGCAGACATTCCTTAAGTCTTTTCACAGAAAATGCTTGTTTACTTGACAGGACTGAAAATTCATACATTCGTAAGCAGGAAAGCCAAGCAGCTAGGTTCTCTTTGACATTGTTAACTGGGTCACATTGTTAAATTGAACATTTGAAGTTTCTGTAATATTCCTGAGGGATCAGAGGTCCCTCTGATGCATCAAGAAAATGGAGCACTGTTTTAGACCTTGGGGAACATGTTTACCTCTCACAAAAAGAAACCCTCAGAGCCATGACAGTGTATCTTCAGAAACCGACTTCCTTTCCTTCTCCAAACAACTTAAAGGTTTATGGATATGTCTATGGTCCTTTAGAGAAATTCTATCAAGAAAACCTGCTGTGAGGCTATGTACTCTTCCGGTGTTTTATCTAAATGTCTAACTGGTCTGGTTAATACCTTTTTTGGTTATTTTGTGTATATTTATTAATGGTTACTTGAAAAGTTGCCGTCAGCCATGAGGACTTTTTAGAATGATTATCAACACACAAAATAAAAAGAGCAGAGCTCTGGCATAATATTTGAATTTTCAGATACAGTATCCATATTTTTCACATCAAAAAGCTCGTAGGCCTATATTCCATTTAAATATGCTATATAGATATATGGCCTAAAAATAGTGGTGCATTTTAAATTTATGAGGCCATTAGATCATGTAAGAATCAGCAAGTTGTATAAAATATATTGGCACAAAAGTAGAAGATTGGCTAAATATTCAGGATGTATAATTATCTACAGCAGTGAAAAGGATTTGTTTTCTTCTTTGTTTTAGTTGGAAAAAAACTGATTTTCAATATGCAGTTGGAACTATTTAGCACTACTTACTATTTGAAAGGTGACAAATAAGTAAGAATACAAAAGGAGGCTTGACTTTGAAACATTATTGTATCATGACCTTAATGGCTTAGAGAACATAATTGTTCACAAATTCAAGTTTTAATTTGGGAAATATCCATAGGTTAACCTCACACATGGAGATACTGTTATGAAGTCTATTCTGTGATGAGAGTGGAAATTTATTCCTTTGGATTGTGGAAAAAAATGTACAAGAGCAATTCTGTGGATTGAAATAGCCAAATTGTACTATCTTTCAAAGATGGAGGATGCAAATGATACTGTTGAAATTAAAACAAAAAAATAAGCATAGATTATGCACTTTTATAGTAGATAGTGGACATTGTTACAATGAAGAAGGTTGTTTGGTCAGTATTGGACTTAGTTTCAAGTTTCAATACAAATATTTGGGTCCTTAATGATATCAATATCGATGCATTTATTCTGTCAAAATAATTTTTTGGTGAATGAGAGGGACCTAGATGAAAATCAAAATAAATGTTAATGGAACTTTTAAGAATGAACCAATCCTCAATAATTTAAAAAAATTGCAATGGGTGAAAGCTGGTTTACATACAACAGAGATTCAAAGCATTGTTTTATTTCTAATCCAGTGTTTAGTTTTCAACTTATTTAAAATATAAATAAAATTCCAAAACCAAGTAGTTTTTGTTTTCAAAACTGTTCAGAAAAAAACAAGATGTCTAAGAGGTAATTATACAAGTCCTTGATAAGAATACTAAGCACACTGTTTACTATTTGAGGGAGCTGTTTATTCCAATACAATAGTGTAACTGGTATAATATAATTTTTGAATAAGTATACATTTCTGCTTTTAAAAAAGCATTCATTTTGCATATGGCGAATGTTGAATTTGGTAGTATTGGATCTGTTGCACCTGTAAAATGTAAATTTCTAAAATGTCATCTAAAAATGAACAATAACTTTATTTTTTAAAGAAATTTTAGTTAGCTATTTAGGTTAGAATATTTGAGATTTTTCTGACACTTCTATGTTTGGAGCTTACAGGAGAAACAGAATTCATTCAATCAAAATGTCATTTTTAATATTGTATAACTTTTAGACAAGATTTCAAAGGATAGTTTGAATGAAGAAGTAAATCAACATTTAAGTTGCATATAGCAATGGGAATGATCAGTAAATAACATTTCACTCTTTGTGTGGAGTGGCATTAAAAAAATAAAAGTTATGGCATTAGACATAAATTCAAAATTGTAAAAAAGCATTGATTTAAATAAATTCTATTAAAATACCCCATTTCAAAATGTTAAATAAAATAAAATTATTCAGCCTGATTTTAAAAACATGAGTAATAAGTACACATTTGTATCTTCTGTGAGTTTCCCTCATTTAACCTACCTGTAGATGAAAAGTCATCTAATGAGGGAAAAGAGACATTTACCTAGAACCCCTTTGGTAGACTTTATGACTTTCTCTGGCTCAAATGCAGATGACTTCCCTGTATACAGCTTTTGAGGTTATCAAGAATCATTATTGCTGCCTCTTTGTGAAACCATGTCAGGAGGAGGCTATGTTTCTAGCAGCTTCTGAAGAAGCATCTTGAGTGGGAATAAACCCAGGGCAACCAGAGCATGCATAAAAAGCCAGAGATACAGAATTCACTCCTCACTAAAAAGTGCATTAAAGTGTATTAAAGTGTACATGCAGAAAATGATTTCAAAATGTCAAGGATTTCTGATATCAAGAGTTAAATACTTGGCCAAGAAAAAGAGTCCATGAGGACACGATGGTCAGGGCTCTGATGTGTATTCTATCTTCATACTGCAACAACATCAGAAACTCTGTCTCTGAATATCCCTTCTCTCTGAAAATAAAAATGACTATGCTCTCTTCTTCCCCTTTTTTGACTAAGAGGAATCATAAAAAGTATCAGACAGAAACCATAAACACTTTGTTGCCTTTTAAGAAAAAATGTGACATTATACACATATAAACATAATTCACTCACTTGCATAGGATTGAGTGTTTGCTTATTGATTTATAAATTTTTACCTAAAATTTTTTCAAAAATATATAAGATTTTAGTGCTGGAAAATTATGAAATTTTTTTTGGATCTGCCATTCATGGAGAAGACCGGTAATATCTTTCCTCTGAATTCATGTGTCTAAACATTGCTCTGTGGATGACTAATGAACATCTCACATTTAACACTTACAAAAAACCAAACTTCCCTTCTCTAACCCTGAACCTGCTTCTCCTTTAACCTTTCCATCTCCCTAAGTGTCAACTCAACCTTCCGGGCTCCAGGGCTCAAAACTTTCCAATCATCCTCTTTCCTCTCTCTCTCTCAAACACCACATCCAAAATCAGCCAACTCATACTGTGGGATCTCCTTCAAAATGTAATATCCACACTCTGACCACTTCTCTAACCATGACATCATTACCCTGTTCCAAGACTTCAACATTTTCCACCTGGAATATTTTAATAATCCAAAAACTAATCTCTTTGCTTCTGTCCTTGGCCGTTAGAGTGGATTTATAACACATTAGCAAGAGTGAGCTCAGATCATTTCACTCTTCTCAAAGCCTGCTAGAATAAAAACCAATGTCCTTATAGTAGAGAATGAGGAGGGTTGATAGGAAGTCTGTAAGTGCCAGCAGAGCAGAATAGCGTATTTTCTGATTGGGTTGGGCTTTTCACCTGTATGATGCAAAAGTAATTGGTAAATACTTTAATTTCTTGCTTCTAAAGTTCTACATAATATACCCTCTCACCCCGACCATGGCTTTTCTTAGAGATTTCTTAAGAATATTTCTTCTACTCTTTATTCTCTTGCCAAATTGTCATCCTTGCTGTGCCAAGAGTTTGCCAAGCTTTCCTCCAGCTCAGAACCTTTGCACTTTTGTTCCTTCTGCCTCTTTCTATCCCCCATATCCACATAGTTTATTCCCTCATTTCGTTCATCTTTGCTAAAATGTCACCTTCTTAGAGAGAACTCTCTAAATTTTCCTATTTAAAATTACATGGCCCTATAGTTCTTCATACTTCCCCTTTCTGCTCTATTTCTTCCCCATACCTTTTGTCACCTTCTAATACGCCATATAGCTTATTTATTTTGTTTATTTTACACTTTTTCCTAATAGAATATGAACACACAAACAGGGATTTTGTCTGTCTTGTTTACTGTTGCATTAATGGTGCCTTAATAGTGCCTGGAATTTAGTAGCAAATCCAAAAAGATTGCATGAAGAGCTTCATTTGTTTCAGCATGTTATGTTATGTAGTAGCTAGTAGTATGCATTTAAGGAGAGGTGGTTTTTTTTTTTTTTTAATTTATTTGACAGAGAGAGACACACAGAGAGAGGGAATACAAGCAGGGGGAGTGGGAGAGGGAGAAGCAGACTTCCTGCAGAGCAGGGAGCCCGATGCGGGGCTCGATCCCAGGACCCTGGGATCATGACCTGAACTGAAGACAGACGCTTAATGACTGAGCCACCCAGGCGCCCCTTTCTTTTCTTAATAAAAAACATTTTTTTGTTATTCATCCTCAAAGGGGGAGTTTTCCCCTCCCTGATGATGATGGAAGCATGAACCAATAATTATATCCCACTCTCCCTCAAATCTGGTCTCTACCCCAGGACCCAAGTTTTATATTAGTGTTTGAAGTTGGTCTTTGGAAGTTAGTCTAAAAGCATTGGACCCTTTATCTATAATATGCATGGCTTACCCTTACTTTTGGAGAGAGTACAAGATAGTTCAGATGAAAATCATTTTGAGCTCAAAACCATAGTAAATTGTTTTTCGTTGATTATCCTAGTTAGTTCCAATTTAAAATTTGCAGGAAGTTGAAAGACTATAACTCTTCCAATATTGGAAGCCAGAGTAAGGGAAAATGCCAAGATAGTTACCTTAGCTGGAAAGGAGAAAGAAGAGAAGAGGAGAGGAAAAAGAAATTATGATCACTTCTTCTCTGAAACACAACATAAATGAAGTTTTTTGGTGTTTCTAAAATCTTCCCATGATCTTAGAAATATATATTACAACCATTTAGTCTGGGAACACTTTAACAGAAGTCATATCTGTTCCATTTTATATTTGATATCTTTGTATATTTTTTTTACTTTGGAGGTTTATAGTTCTGTTACCAACATGACAGGAACTGCTCATGTTCATATATTCCAACTGGTTCTCTCTCTTCTCCTCTGCATTTTAATAGCAGCTATTATTTTCTGAACCTTACAATCACATTTATTTTCCTTGACTATCCCCATACTTTTTTTCCCTACAATTTGGACTGACTGCTTCATAATTTTAGTAACCAAACATCTTAGATATTTGTTCTTGTGATGGGTTGCTGATTTTTATCCTTTGCAGTTTGTCTTCACATTCTTACCAAAC